GCCTTCGAGCACACGGTTGGGTGCATCTCTGGGGGGAAAAGGGAGCTCCTCAACCAGGCCCAGAGGGGCATCAACCATGCCACACACTAGAGAACTCTGCACTTGTACCCTTACTGGGACTCGAGGCCACCAACCCCACGTGGTCACCCAACTAGAACATGATGAGGGCCCTGGATGCTGGACAGCAAGGATTTGAACCCAGCCAAGGCAAGAGAGGCACATCTTTGGACCTATAAATTCATGGTGTTCAGAAAGGCCTTGAAGGAGAAGTCAACCGTATTCCCTGCCAGAAAATTCACAAAGGAGGAAAGTCCTTTTGTGTCAGGAGCGTGAGGAACTAAACACGCCTTACAAGTGCGGTGACAACAAGGAAGTCTCCCTCAAGATCCCCTCCTCCTCTGGCACTAGGAAGTTCTAAGCAGAGAAAGGTCTTTTGAATGCAGTGAAGATGACAACGGAGCCTGGAGCCAAGGCCCCCACCTCTTTCGGAGCTGGAAAGTCCACACTGCAGACAGGCCTTGCGGGAGAAGCCGGTGTGGGAGAGAATTCACACCAAAGAACCTCCCAGGCCTCATCCACCTGCCAATGTTCACAGTGGAGAGAAGCCTCGTGAGTGCAGTGAACGTAGGACGCCCTCTGCCGTGGCCCCTGCTACATTCGCCACCAGGAAGCGCACAGGCTGATGGGGGCTCAGGAGCACGGCCAGCGTGGGAGACATTCTGCAGGATGTGCACACTTGAGAGTTGACACTACAGAAAGTCTTAGGACTGCAGTGCAGTGGCAACTCCTTCAGCTGTCTCTGCATCCCTGTTCGGGAAAAATGTGTCCCTGCCTAAGAGGAGATCACGAGAGCAACCCTTGGAAGAAGCCCTTTCGGTCAGAGTGCAACTCCACGCCGAGAGCGCCACGCTGTGGGGGGATCCCACAAGAGCTATAGATGTATGAAGCCTTCAGGGACAACGCTGCTGTTTTTGACCTTCCCTGCAGCCGGAGTGAGGTCTGTGGCAGAAGCCATCCTCCTCTCTGGGATGCACAGGGACGCCCCCACCCCCCTCTTGTCTCCCTCACACTCCCCGGAAGGTAACCAGATTGTCCCGTGCCACTGGGGCAGCCCCCATCTCCTTGTCTGCAACTCAGTCAGGCATGGAAGTGACCCAATCTTGCCAACGGAAACTGAGGCGAATCTGCTGGAAGCTTCTGGGCAGGGTTTCCTTGCTGCATACATTTTTGTCTGTCTGTGACAGATGCGATGGCTTCAATCAGCCCATGAGTCACCTTATCCTGGAGAAAACTACTCAGTTCAGCTCTGGACTCTGAAAATACAGGCCTTATAGTAAGTAAACCATATTTCATCCCGGGGGTTCTGTGGGGCTATGCTGGAAGGAGAACTGGGTCTCCATGCCAGAGGTGCATGCTTCAGGGCACCAGGGAAGCAGGGAGTGGCCCCCTGTCCTGTCTGGGCTCATTCACTTTGCTACCCTGGTGAAAACTGTTGTCTGGAATTCAGAGTTAATTCTGAGCCCAGCCCTCTCCTGGGTTTACAGGGGGTTATCTGTGGCCCTAGAGTGCCCTGGGAGGATCAGGTGGTGGCTGTCTCCCTCTCAGGGGAGTCCTGATTTACCCTACAATTTGAAGGGAAGCTCTGTCCCGGGACCTGGCCAGGTGTGTCCAGCGGCCAGCGGGGTAGACACTGGCCATGAGCTAAGAGGGAGCTGGGCAGGTCAACACAGCGCTGCTGGCTGCCGAGCTCATGGCCTTTTCAGGAGGAGCTTGAGGTTTGAGTTTTTATATGAAATCTAATTCTATACGTGTTGGCAATGATTTTTAAGGTATCTTTATTGGGATGTCATTGACATCAAATCAACTCATGTATATTTGAAGAGTTTTGAGATGCATACACAACTGTGAAGCCAATGCTGCAATCAAGATAATGAACAATTTATCACCCCAAAAGATTCCTTGGACCCTTTTTAATATCTTCCTCATGCTCCTACTTGCCTCCCCTCAACACCTAGGCAGCTATGAGCTAGTTTATGTCACTAAAGATTGTCTGTGTTTTCTAGAATTTCACATGACAGGAGTCATGAAGTGTCTAAATTTTCATTCGCTTGTTTCTTTGGCCTATTTCATGAAGCATAGTTATTTTGGGATCCATCCATGCTGTGGAGGGTATCAACAGCCCATTCTTTTTTATTGCTGGGTGAATTTTATTTCTGGCTGAATTTTGGGTAATTTTTTCACGTTAGACTTCAGATCTAAGTTCTGGTTTCTCTTTTCACCTATGTCTTATCTGCTGTTTAGTCCATTTAATAAATGTTGTGTCACTTATAATTTTTAATTTTAGAATTGTGTGTGTATGTGTTGTGTTTAATCTGACTGCATATTTCTCATAGTTTTTTGTTTTCTAATATTTGTCCTATACACTTTTATGTTTTAAACACATTAAGCATACTTATATGTTCTTTTCCTTATGATTTCAATTTCTGTATTCGTTCCAGGTTTCAATTCTGCTCACTGTCATTCATGATGGCTTGTTTCTATGTATATTTTGTGATTTTTCTGATTGTCAGTTCATGCTCCATGAAACATTATCGAAGAATAATGTTTGAAAGTGCACTCATTTCAAAGTACAGGTCTCCTGGGAGGCTGTGGGCTAGTTTCGGCCCAGTAGCTAGAACTACCAATGCATGACTACGTTAGACAACAATCAGGGCTCCGGACTTTATGTGCCACCCAGGAAGAGTGAATATAGTCTCCCAAATCAGGTAAAAATGGGTTTGTGGTTACAAATTCTTAGGGATAACAGTTTCTCTTTTAGCTAGAGTAGGTACAAAACAGGCAAGGATTCCCATCTCCTTCCTCTCCAGTTGATCCAATCAAGGTGCCGTATTTTTATAAGTTCTTGCTTTATGTTGCATTCTGTAGTTGCACTTTCTACCTCTAAGAGACCCCAAACTCTAACTAAGTCTACTTTGTATGTCTGCCCAGTCTGCAGTTCTAGCCCCCAGTGGTCAGTAGTCGTCCCAGAGTGGCAGTTGGCTACAGCTTACACAATTTCCTCTCCACAGTCCAGCTTTCTCTTCATTTTTGGCATATAAACTTTTCTATGTTTTCAGCATAACCATTCTTTCAAAAATACATGTTTTGTCACAGTGGCTCATCTGTGTAGCCCCAGCTACTTGGGAGGCTGAGGCAGGAGGATCGCTTGAGGCCATTTAGGGGCTTTAGTGCACTATGATCACACCTGTGAACAGCCACTGCACCCCAGCCTGAATAATGCAGTGAGACACCATATCTTAAAAAAAATAAATAAATAAACAAAAATAAAAAAAACATGTTCTGTGATTTAATCCAGTGTTTTTACATGGTGTGCACTGCAAGGGGTTTTTAAGGGTATCAGTTTACCATGCTGTCAGAAATAGAGTTGTAATATAACTTAATTTATGTTGACTTCTATGTGTTGATATCTAAGGTAAGTTAAATATTCAACAAGCAAAGGGCATGATTTTCCACAGCACCCCTTTCACTGATATGAAGCAGGATCCTTGGAGATGCAGAACTGTCTCTTCTCCTGTGACTAAATCCTGCCAATTACTATCAAGGTATATGAGAGTCAGTCACACTGTCAATGACAGAAGTCTATTTTCAAAGGACCTCACATTACTGTAAAGATGATATGGAGACCACAATGTCACATGTACCCGAGGGTGGATGAGTAGATGGGTGGATGGTTGTATGTATATATGCTTGTACGGATGGTTATATATATGTATGAAGATCTATATCTGTGTGTGTGTGTATATATATATTATTATATGCAATTATATCTACATATTATGTATGCTATCACATACACATTGTATTTATACACATGCATATATTTGTAACTATACTTGAGAATTCCGTCCTATAAAATATATACACTTTAATTTCATCCCAGTAGGAAACTTGCAAGACTGTATTGTGCTTTGGTATCTACGAGTGACATACAAGTTGTTATTTTTCTTCAGGATTTCTTTCTTCAGGGTTTGCATTAATAAAAATCTGTTCCTAGTCCCTATCCCTAGCTTGGTGGAGAACACTGCTGCTTGCTGCTATCTTGCTACCCCTGCGCTCAGCCAGCAGATTGGCAAGAGAAGGCACATCTAATGATTCCAGCTCAAACACTGTACCTGTTACTGTTGCAGACTTTGTTCCTTAGAGAAGATACTACCTGCCAGCTGGCTCTGACAGTTGGGAGACTAACTTTGACATTTCTTTTGGCACCATAACAGTATTTACAGCTCAGGAAATACATACAGTCAGATTATGATGGACCCAGGGATTTTTGAGGTAAAAAGTAAAACAATACACTAATCACAAACATGACCATAATAGTAAAATTATTTCAAAAATAAATTCAGAGTTCAGTGTCTCCTTCGAGAAATATCTATTCTACATGAACTATATGGCATATGCTTGCAAAGAGAAAAAGGACTGCAAAGAAGAGGGTAGTAATTCAGTTATAAAGCTCACCACTCACGCTAGAGTGAAGAGTCTACTATGTCAGAAAACTGCTGAAGAAAGCCAGGGAGAAATAAAGCAAAAAAAAAAATAGTAATTTTTGAATAATATGGAAGATAAATATAAAATATCAACACATCTGGAAAAAGATTAACTTTTGTTATTTTTCTTTGACTAGGCTCTGAATTGGCCCTCATTTTCTCAGCCTCTTCTTTATAGTCCATGAAGACCATTTATAAGGAGTCTAAATTGGCACATTCCAACATAGGCGCCAAAGCGGTGAAGGCTCTAAGAAAGAAAGGCTGGAGGGGTGGGGGGTGTGCGGGCACAGGTGGGATTTTGGTGAATGTTGCCCAGGTGTCTGCATAGCCCAACACTTTTGTTGAACGTTAGTAGATGGAATTAAAATGAGTTGGCATTTTTGTCTCCATTCTAATTCCCTCATTTCCCCCATCATTTCCTTGTTTTAAAAAGAGTCAATTTGACCAGGTACTTACTGCTCTAGTCCCAGGGCAGTTTGGAGACTGGCATTCGCCACTCATCCGGTTTGGAATTAGGACATCTTCCCAGCAAGATGGACCCTTTGAGGAGAAAAAAGAACCGACAATGTATCCTTAATGCACAAATTGTAATACAAATGTATTCCCTGACACATTTTCTAAAATTTCTCCATTTATATTATAAAATGGTAATGAAATCAATGTGTAGTTCAGTGATTTTCTGAGTGTGGTCCACAGACCCTGAGGGTGCTCCAGGCCTGTTCAGGGGATCCGCCAGGTCAAAACTATCTTCGTAAATATACTAAGACCATATTGGGCATTTTTCTCCAAATGTGTTCATTTTCCACTCATAGCCTCCTCCTCTCAGATCCCTGGTTTAATGCTGACTCATTCATAAGGCCATCCCTGACCCTGTTCCACATCTCCCCGCCTGCCCTCCCAGCCTTCCTGTGCTTCCTGGCAATCATCACACCCTGAGCTGTGGCCCAGCACAGAGTGATGGCTGCCTGTCCCAGCCACGGACTGTGAGCTGCACAGAAGCCCACTTGGTCTATTCTGTCCACTGCAGCCTCCCTCCCAGCACCCAGAGAAGGGCCTGCCATAGAAGAGGTGCTCAGCAAACTCTCCTAGTCATTAAAGAAATAAAGATTTACATAATAGCAAAAGTCTTCCTAGTACATTAGGAAAGAACACCTCAAATGAAATATCAGAGCTGAGTAATGCATGACTTTTGGAAAGCAACCCAGAAATATGTATCAGAAGCTTTAAAATTTTTGACTACATCTCAAGAAACCTATACTGGCTCAAAATACCAAGAACAGAAAGCGCCCTATGTATTTTGTTTACAGATGTTCTGTGCATGGTTGGAAGAAACTGGAAACAGCCTAAGTCACTAAAGACAGCCAAATAAACAGCCCCTGATAAATCAAATAGTACATAGCAACTAAAATGTGTTGTTCTTATCTACTAACAACATGTTGGAGAAAGGAACACAAAATTGGAATAAAGTAGGAATACAACTATTTAAATGATGATGAAGAAAAAAATTAGAAGGGAATAAAGATGCATTCAGTATCTTTTTAGGGATTAGTCTTCTCACTTAATTGCTTAAATATTTAATTAAATAATTTTCTTAAGGTCATTGCAGTTTTAATATGTGACGTGCACACTACAGTCAGCAAGTCTTTGGAGGCAGCAGCAGAATGTGTGGCGGCACACCTAGGGGCGGCCTGTCACCATGGGCCTTCTCGGCTGAGCACACATGTGACCTCCTGTCCCTCCTGAGGCACTGCCGGAATCACGCTTAGACACTAACGATGTGTAAACCCACCATCCGGGGACAGTAGTCAGGGAGCAAAGTGCTCTCTGGCCAGATGACTGTGCTAAGCTCTGACTCGCACACTGTATTAATAGCTGGTGGTGATTCACAATGAACCACGCATGTCGGAGCTCTGGAACATCTCTAAGTCTGAAAGAACCATTTCACTGTGGTTAGCCATTCACTAAATGGGACAACATTGCTTCTCTCCTCTCTCAACTTGGAAGTTTCTTCTGACCTACTCACAGCAGGTGCAATGAGAAAAGATAAACCTAACATGGCAAGAGCCAAGAAGCAGCACTGATGATCAAATTTGGGAGTTAGATCCGATTTATATTTTGCTGCTCAGGGCAAAATTTCTTGCCTCAAATTCTACAAGTAAATGAGATTGTTCTGTGCATATAACAGATATTTATTTTTCATATTTTAATTTTTTAGTGTCTAAATAGCAATTAAAACACATAACAATTCCTATAATTGTCACATAAGGTACTACGTTATCTGACAAATCCATATGTTATAAAGGGAAATGACTGAAAAACTCATTTCCAATTTTCTTGATCTCAATCCATAACATGATGGTATAAGTAGTAAAACAAGAGAATTCTGTTGGACATGGGAATTCAATATCATACAATATATATGCCGGTTTTTCCATACTACTCACACTATTAGTATGAGTGCCATAACTATCCTGAAAATAGAAACAAATGTCTCAGTAAATTTCTACCAAGACAAAGCAGACTGAACTTTGCACTTTTCTGATTTTAGAAAATATAAAATTTTTAATTGCCTAATCATTGCACATGCCTAAACATGGCACAATAGTTGCATGACTAAAGCATTCATAATTAATAGTTTTTATACATAAGAAAGTTCTTCAGATTAAAAGATTAACAAGGAATGTAAATCACAAGGTGGTAGTAATAGAAGAGAACTATTCATTATACAGCACATCGACAAAAGAACCAAAAATTTATTTTACCTCTCAAATCTAGAGAATTATAGAAAGGTATCTGAAAAACTATCAGATAGGACAATATGAAATGTATGCCTTAATAAAGAATCATTTGGCTGGTTTTATAAAACTTTCTCTTTTTTTGCCTAGTAATTGCTACAATCAAGAAAAATACATAAATTATTTTAGCAACTATAGCAAAGCTGAACAAACTATGACCTGCTGGCCCAAATCTGGCCCAGTGCCTATTTTTGTACAGCCTATGAGCCAAGAAATATTTTCACATTTTTAAATGGTTGAAAAGCATTTAAAAAAAAAAAAAGAATGTTTCATGATACATGAAAATTGTGAAATTCCAATTTCATTGTCCGTACAGTTTTGTTGGCACACAGCTCCATGTGGTCTATGGTTGCCTTCATGCCACATGGGCAGAGTTGAGCTGTTCCACATAGACTTCATGACCTGCCAAGCCTGCAGTATTTACTACTTGGCCCTTTATGAAAAAAGCTTGCCAATCCCTTATCTATAGTGAACAATATTTTCCAAATTTATATTGAAAAGTAATCTTTTATTGTTAGCATTGTGGTAGCATTTTGGCTACCATATAATCACATTAGTTTGTGTGAGTAGGTGTGCCTTAGGTCTTAAGTGAGAAGTTACAATTGAAATCTCAGAGTAGCTGACTTAAGAAATCTAACAAGATGTGGACAGAGAGGCAGCAATTGAATCCAATCAATTGAATCCAGTGAGTCACCAGGTTGTGGGAATCAGTAAGTGGAAAATAACAACTAGAGATGACATTTGAGGATTTTTCCTGACTAATGTTATCAATAGAAAAGCATGAAGTAGAATGTTATTTAAATACATCTATATGATACATGTAAATCAGAAATTCAGAAAAAAGTGATAAAAATCTATAAAATGTGAGTTTTAAAATTTATTTTTAAAAGCTCTAGAACTAATTCTCCAAAAGCCATTTTGGCTGTCTTTCAATGTCCAGTTAAGTGAAAAAATGAAGTGCTTAACTGGCTAATTCATATCCAAATATCACTCTGACAAGATCCAGATAGACAAAGCAAAAGAATTTTTTTTCCTTGAATTACCTAAATAAATGCTATAATCTGCTCTTCATATGTGGGTGTATGCATTTCTACTTAGAATAAATTGCAAAATCTATTTTCCAAAATGCTTCTCTAAAGTCTTGGCATTTACAGTTTTTTAAAAAGTTATTTTAATAGTAATTTTATTTAAACTATATTTTAAACTATTATCTCATGTTATCATCAAATGTGTTTCATTTAAAATATTCTCTTGAATGAATCCAAAAACATTTAAGCCATATAATTAAACTTAAGGGACTAAAATAATTTTGAGAATCACACTAGGGATATAATATAGCAACAGCAAGACTGTCTTTAAAATAGCTATACTTAGAGGCTGCAGTCTTTCCTTGTTCTTTTTTATCCCCATTTGCAACAAAATGATTAAGAAAAGGAGCTTTGAAGTTCACAAGACTGTTAAATCTGATTTCTACCAATTTTTAGCAATATGCATTTGATCTAGTTTCTTTTACCCATTCCAAACTGGCAAGTGAGGAGTTAAATACCTCCTTCACAGAGCGGTCATGAAGATTAAATGAAATAGTACACTTTAGTGCCTTTGCACAGTGCCTGGCACTTAGTGACTTTTTAAAAAAATGGCAACTGTTACAAGTATTAGTTCTTATTTCTCAAATAGAACTACTGGAGTAGGGTTATTTTTAGTTTCGTAAGTAGCTGAGCAAGAAGAAGCTACTTCCAAGGTACTTGACTTAGCCCAGTTGGTTTTTAAATTCTCCCCTTTTCTCAATTTCCTTATTATTCAGTTATTCCCAGGGGTCTTGTCATTTAGAACTCTTTTAAAGCATATATCTCCATCTACCATATAGCAGGTGGTGTTCTGCACATCCGTCTTCTTCCATTTCATTTAAAGATACTCAGCTTCTGACAAAGCTAAGCACAGTGCTGTGATTATATAGCAAGGGCACAATAAATGCAATCATTAAATAGTAAGCAGGGAAAATAATAAAGAAAAAAAAATCCCTGGAACCAAAATATTCATCCTTTCACCAAATAATTATGGAACAGCTCTGAGAATACAGTCTTGTAGATTTTATGAAGGAGCTACAAAAGCTAGTATAACAAATAAACCGAGCACACCCATTCAAATGGACACAATTTTTTAAAATGCCCACACCAAATTCTAGCAAGGTGTAAAGCGAATGGAATACACACACCGCTGGTGCAAATGTAAAACAGTACAGCCCTTCAGAAATCTACTAGACAATTTTTTTAATGTAAACATATAGCTAACATATGATTCAGCCATTCCACTCCTAGGCATTTACCTAAGATAAATGAAAAATACATCCACACAGAGAATTGCAGACAAATGCTCATAAACAGGTTTAATCATAATAGCTCCAACCTGGAGACTATCCAACGTCCTTGAAAACATGAAAGGATAAACAAAATGTGGTATATCCATTCATTTGAACACTACTCAACAACAAGCAGTGTCATATTACTTATACATGCATCAACATGGATCGTTCTCAAAATTATGCTGTGTAAAAAAGGCCAAACATGACATAGAACATGCTGCGTGATTCCACTTATTTGAAATGTAAACAAATCTACAGTGGCAAAAACCGATCAGTGGTAGCTTGGGGGTGGGAGCAGAGTAGACGTGCTACATAAAACCATGAGGGATATTCTGGGGGTTATTTTTGGTTGAATTGTGTCCCCTGAGAATTCATATGTTTAA